TTCTAAGAGTACGTACAAATCTGTATTAGAAGGACTACATTTTTTTTTAAATTTTAATTATTAGCACTTTGTTTTTATAAAATTGAATAGATTTTTCATCATCACAATCGTATACTATATATTAAATAATGTATAACGTTACAAAACGTTGATTTTTTTAAAGTTTGTAAACCAGATTCCCTTCTTTATACATTATCAGTATTTTATTTTATCTTTACTCTAATAATAAAAACAGACGTTAGTCCAATTATAATACATTTTATAACAATGATAAAATTACATTGAGTAACAATTTTACAGCGTATATAGAAGAGTTTGTTCAACAGTAACAATATAATCTGAATCAACATAATGTGAAAAATATTTACACAGAATAGAATCAGAAAAGAGGTAATATTTAAGTAAATATAAAATGAAAAGTTACATAAACACATGTTCATAAATTGTATTGCTTAGCACTTGGGCACCCGTGATTTTAGCTCTTACAATTCGTATGCATTTATTCTTATGACACATAATACTAAGTACTTCTTTCTATATAATATACTATATGTATTGTTACTTATGAGAAATGCATAAAATAAGTGTTTGAAATCCAAATTGTCAATAATTTATAATCGTCGATTGTGACAATAATATCTTTAAACGGTTGTTGGCCTGCTTAATATTAATATACTGTCGAAAAATATCTATTTCTTCTCAACTCGAACTGGGATACCGTGTGAAGATAATACCGTTGCTAAAAATATTAATTTAACTTCGTTAAACAATTTATTAACAGTACATGTGATTTCAAAATGTACATAGGTATACACGGAATGGCAAAATTCACTTTGTAACAAATAAATCGGTTGCAAAATCAAAAAGTTCATACCATACAGCTGCTTGTTACCGTGTAGGTAATAGTTTAGGTGTTTTCTACTATTGTAATTGTTCGATATGGAATGAAAAATGTACGTATTTTGGTTTTTATCTCAACAGTTATTTTGCGTAACATGTCATGGACTACTTAAGTAGTAGCTTAAGTATTCGGTAGCACGTTAGTTGTATTTAAATACACTATTTAATACAATGATTCGTCTAAAATCTGAATTAAAAGGTCACTAGTAGACACTTGTTTTGGTCGTTACAAAAAGCGGTGGCAATTGCTGACGTAATCACTATGGCGTAGAAGAAAATCTTAAAGACAACTGTAACAGAGAAAGAATATAAATCTATACATGACAATAGTTGCAATCATAAGTGGCTCGATTAAATTAGGAAATGTTACACCTCGCAAGAAACGGTATTTTGGAGATTTAATGCATTTAAAGTGTTAACCGTTTGTTTTAACAAAGTCATTTAACAAACAGAAAATGTTAAAAAAATGAAAAATGCCTGTACACCGTAAGTCGTTAAATAATAAAAACCCAAGAAGAAAAGCCCTAAATTGCAATTAATTTTTAAGAATCTTTAAAGATTATCAGTTTTAATATTAATTAAGGAATCGCTTTAATAATTAAAATATAAATGTAAAAAGTAGCTTATCGTATACGTGTAACAAGGTAGTTATAAATATTAGTTTTTTACATTTCTGATATTTGTTTTTATTAAATTAAAACAAAAATAAATATCACAAATTAAAAGCAAACATTTCAGAACAAATTTTAATTTTTCAGAATACCATTTATGTGTAGTTAATAACTTTTGATATTAACTTTAAAAGTTCATAACATTTGATCAAGTCAAATATATTTAGTATAAACGTATAGAAGTCCATCTGTTTAGCAGTGGAACTTGAATAAAGAGAGATGACAATTGTAAGTAAATAAATATAAAGTTTATTAAAAGATAGATATGATAACCCTAATGCTTTTCACTAAACAGAAGTAGCGCGGAGTATGTATTATGACATATTAAGTTAAATACTTGGTTGACTTTAATTTTAACTTAGCCCGCATAAAATATGGAGTCTCACGTAATTACTCTCTGAAGTTGATAAACTTAGCTGTCAAATGCATATGCATAATTATATATTATTCGTTTTCCCTTGGTACAGCCACTTTGATTGGGTATCATAATTTTACAAAAACCACCAATAAATACAGTTAATGTCAGTAAAACAGATCAAATTGAAATATATGCCACTTTAAAGTTATATGTTATGTTATTTAAATATCATCGCTTTATTATTGTGGTAATTTGTGACTTACTACTTTAGGACTTGTGAGATATTTACATTAGAGACAATACCAATGTTTAACTTGACAGTGAAGTATATAAATTACACACACACCATATACAACCGGCGGTACATTATTATAATACATTTTATGGTTATTCATGATGTATTAGCATTTGTAAAACAAGAAAACAAGAAATTAATACAAATTACAGTTTTTTATAGTCTTTTATAAAGTCCATACAAACAAATCTTAATAAATTCGCTACCATACAAATGACTCGGAGATCAAAATTGCATTATGGATGCGATGGGACCTACAGAATGATGACCGTCGACTTACTGTAACGTCCCACGTCTAAGAAAGTTAGCTTTAATGAGATTCGCTCGGTTAAACTTTGCGCCCACGGTAACTTGTGTCGACAGAACGACTTCCATATTTGATTATTATTACTATGGTGCTAGCCCAACAATAATTACTTAACTGTCCGGAGTAGTAGTTCCTAGTTGAATTATTAGTTATTACAGGACATAGTGAACTTATTGCCTGATTCAAAATCATCGAACTAGTACTAGTTAAATAATTTGTGCGGACGTTTTCTTTGAATAATTAAGCTTACAGATTTAATAATGTGGGATTTGACTGAAAAAACAATTGACAATTTTAACTAGATTATAAAATAGACTATTATAACGTTACAAACAAATTATAAAATAATGATATACATTTGAAAAAAACAATAGAACGCTAAAATGTCATCGCGGGTCTCTCAATCGTATCTTGTGATTACTTAATTAATATCCTGAATAACATTATTATTCTGACACAAAGCTCTGTGTTTCCCGGTAACAATATACACGGGGAAGGTTAAATCAAATCTTATATGTAATGTAATTACTTCCATCTAGATTAGTAATTCGCTACAGCGCTATGCAAATGTTACGGCGAAAGCTGTGAAGATAAAAATAGTGACTACGGCGAAGGTACACGGTTGCTTTGGATTTCGTCCTCATTTGAATTCCGTTCCGGGTGTGTTTTAGTACCTATAAGCATTTACATTATTGAATACATTTGCATTTGTAAAAATCACCAAATTGAATGAGCCTAGATCGGTGCAATATTACACACGGCAGACAGTTTTAACGAGCATCAACCGTGTCTAATTTTATTATTCTAGACGAAAGCTCTTGTCCAGTGTAGAGCCCTAAGACACAGCCGGATTTATTCGCTATGATTAATTGTGCCGAGCACGTGGTGATAAAAACGGGCATTTTACTCAACCGCTATATTATTATATAGTCGAACGAGGGGAGAAATATAATCATTTTTCATAAAACGTCTGTCGTAAAATCGTCTAAAACCAGACGGTGGTGTAAGTACACTTTCAACTACTCGAAAACGCCTAAAACTTGAACGAAGGTCTTTACCTCGTAAAACGTACTGTGTATTATATGTAAGTCTAAACGTCAAAAGGCCAAGTACGCTTTATATAGTAATTTACAGACTAGCCGTTTCGTCAAAATATCGGTTTGACGATTGACTCGATTTTACAGTGCAGCCACATTAGTTGTACTCGATAATTGGCAAATAATAATTGTTGTGGCACTAATTGTTTTATTACTTAATGCCATTGATCACATTTAAATAATGGGAGCAGGTTTTCAAAACATAAATTTTATACGAACAATTTTTGTGGTCATACTGTAAAAATGACTTGAAAAATACTTGGAAAATGCTTCTCTATGCTCTAACTTATTAGCTTCATGATAAATAACTCAAGTAAAATTTGTCTGTGTATAGTCGGATGGGTTCTATTAACACATTTGATGTGACTTATGGACGGTGCGGATAGTCGTTTGGTACATGCAGTAGGGTTTCTGTTCAAGTTAATTCTGTTTATTTTAAAGTTGAAAACATTAAACAATTTTTTCGTAAAAAATGAATTGTTTTTGATCAATTTACTCTCTAACTATTTTTCTCCAATATATCACTTTAAAGCCCTAATTGAAACACTAACACTTCTGTTATCTGCTAAGACTGAAACTACATCGTCCGCGAATAATTGGTACCAAGGTACTTCGTATAAAATATAATGTCAAATGTTTTACTCAGAATTAGTATTGACACGTTTAATAAATAATAACCGTCCCGTTAATTTGAAGTATTAATCAAGTTTATTATGGTTTACTGTCGAAACATATATAATATTACTTACTGTGAGATAAAATTATAAAAAATATATTTTTTTTGTTCTCTTGAAGTGTTTACCGATATATTCCTGAATAAATGTATATTTCTCAATAATACATTAAACAAATAGAATATTGAAGAAAAGACATCACATCAATGTAATAAAAACAATTAATTGTTGTTTTGTCTTTTAACATAAAGATAATATATTCTATTTGCTCAAAACTTACCTGTAAAATTCACTTGCATATTTTGTTCATTTGACGCTATGCTATAATACTTATGATCATAGTAAGATTTTAGTAGTCTGTTGATATTCAAAACGTCATGTTTTCTAATACTTCCAAGATGACGTATCAATGTAGTTATTGTTAATAAGTTTCGACGACAACTTTTATTTTATGAAATAAATAGACGAATATTTAAAAAAATTATGGTTTTAACTTTCATATGAATTTTGGAACTTATTAATATGGATCGAAAATGTTATCACATTAAAATTTACACTATTCGTTGTAGCTACAAAAATTAATGTTGCTTACAATTTATTTAATGTAATAAATTGTAAAGTTATTCATAAAACGATATTCTGATAGCTTATCTGATTTAAATATAATAACTAATTATGTTTTTTTTATATAATTTCAGGTGGTTTTTACTCGGATGATTCCTATTTGATTGGTAAGTCATTTTTATTTTAAGTCAAATAAATTGTAGTGTAACGTCAGGAACATTTATATTTACTGTAAGTACATACTATCTCAACTCAATAACAATAAAACGTGAACTATCATAAAGATACCATTAAACATTAATATTTTTCTTCTATAATAGTATTTTTATTGATGTTTAAAATATTACAAGGATAACGAAATATGTGTACGACCCTAAACACAGTATTACTCATATATTTCTGTATGATATGTTCTTTGAAATATTTAAGTCCCTATACCGAAAGACACTAATAATAATTTAAAATATTGTGTAATAATTATTAACATAGACACCATATACTTTTTTGGATACCCCATTTTGGGTGCAAACCTATTTTAACCATAAATTCATCGCATCCATTTCGAATAAATCTATGTTATTACTGTTTAAAAAAAACTAGAAGCAATTATATTTGTTTTATACATCCGGTATAATGATTTGAAATGTTTGCATACATCTTGAAACACAAGTAATAACTGATGCTTGGCGGTGTTTAGGTTAAATAACATATTTTGTTGAAAAGTTTAATTGAATATGACGCTAATGTTCAGATGAATGTTGTAAATATTGTAAGTCATTAATTACATTAAAACTACAACAATATACTAGAATGTTAAGTATTATGACAGAGTCATAAAGTTAAAAGTAAAATTAACTTTAGCTGTCCACAAAGATATATAGTATATATATATATATATATATATATATATAATATATCGAATGTAAACTCATAGTTATCAAATTGTTCTAGGATTGTTAGAATAGTTTTAAGTGTCAAGAAGTAACTTCTCGATACATATTATTACCTTGCGTGTGTTTTCTAAAGTTTCAAAAAATAAACCAATTTAAAAGTTTTGGGTGTGAAACACAACTACATTCCAAAACTCAGCTCCTTTTTTTTTTATTGTTTATGGACGTTCCTAAATAAATCATTTGACTCCTGTTCCGCATACTTCCAACACAATTAAGTCCATCGGGATAACTGTGCAAATTAAAATGGAGTGTGAATACCGAACATCGGATCTAGAAAAATAAACAATAATAATTTATTTTATATTTTTTTAAAGTGAGACATTTAATCGGTTATCAATAACTAAGTGGTGTACTGAAAGTAGAGATTATTCAATAACTAATTAAAATAAGTACTCAATAAATTATCAACATATTTTGTTGAGACGTATGGTGAGGTATAAAGAGCGAAGGGGGGGGGGGGGTGGATTGACTATAAGGAAATAGTTCACAAATCAAACTTGTAAACTTAACTTTCAATAAACATACCTAATAAACACTTTTTAGTTGAAAACGTTCGCTAAAATTATCAATAAAATACAACAATGATTGTTCGTTATTTCTTTTAAAAAATCGCAGTTACATATTTTTTTTATACTTATTACCCTACTAATTTACCATCTTCCCTGGACTGCTATCTTTACTTGCTGGGTACTTAAATTTTATTAGCTACGGGAGTTAAATAAAAATAAATAAAATAAAGCGCCTATTTTGTTATGAAATATAAAATAGCATTTATCGTTAAAATATCAATACAAATAGCAATATATATTATGTTGTTTTTATTACACGAATTTTCGATTGAATATTTCCATTTACGGATTTTTTGTCTATTTAACAACACATAATAGTATTGTAATATATATTTTGTAAAGCATATTACGGTTCTAATTTTCTTTTTTTTCGTAAACGTAAGCAGTTCCTATTCAAGGCATTCATAGGGTATCTAAAAATAAACTTTTATATACATTGTTTCTTTTCAGCTTATGTCTTTATTGTCAGGGTCTGAACGACTCGATAACCCGGTATCACGAGCGTCGTCTTCGTTTGCCGATGGGAAATGTCGTTATTTTACCGTTTTTTCTCTCTCGAGAACATTCGTGACATTTGCTTTATCTTACGAAAAATTGTATATTGAAAATACCTATTAAATCGATCCTAGCCATCATCCAGACAACCATCATGTATAGTTAACGTTCGTAACGATAAAGGGTCTCCGTTTGCGCGTGCAATTTATTTTCCAGTAAAATGCGTTTTTATTATGCAAATATGATAATTCAATAACATTAGGGTATAATAACCTAAAATTACTCTTGTACAATCATAATGAGGTATCCAATAATGGCCAAAAATAACAGCTTTGTTATTTTTTAAGCTTTAGAGTACAGATTGAAATTTAAGGCTACCAAGATGTGTTGGTCCGTAACAAAAATATTAGCATTCCGAAAATGTTTATATTAACATAGCTTACGATGTTCGTCCATATTATCATCATAACTAATATACTCATAAAGATTTATAAACAATGTTTAAGTTGACTTGAAAATGTCAAAATTTAGGCGATACCGCTACCGAGATAGTATAGTTAGTATAGCCGAGCAAAAAGCCCTCCATTTACACTACACAAATCACTTTTGAATATTTTTTACAAGACATCTTATTACTAACTATATTATTGATAATTGGTTCATTCAGTTTTATTATCTTGTAAATATTAACTTAGTAAAATTGTTTAAATATTTGTATTGGAAAAGTTGTGTAGACAATTCGTTATTCAGCTCATGTAGTTTTATGAAAATTAGTCGTGACATTTTATATAAAAAAAAATAAAACCATTGTATATTTTTTATAATCATGGCAAATTCTAATTATAACGGTGTTTTCACATACATAATACAATTCCAAATCTGTGTCAGAGGTGGTGATGACATTCGTCAAAAACAGAGAAGATACGGTGGACAAAACTCTTGAGACGTTTGCATTATATAATATTTTGTTAAAAATAAGAAATGAAAATAATACAATTCGTACTAAGAAACGACCTGTGCCTAAAAACTTGAGAAATATACGAGTATAATTTTTATGTAAATAATAAAGTATATAATACAAAATATAAATACTCTTCGGTATTACCTACTTTGCGCAAACTTGTTAACAAAGTTTAAACTTCACTTTATATTGCTTTCAAATAATTTTAGCACTACTATATTGATATTGTACAACTATGATTAAGTCGAACAATAAACAAACATCTAAGTTTTAGATTAAAAAATTCCTTAAAAAGTACTTATACCAGTTTCAGTGATAAAGGGTAGTATTATTTTTTATTTGCTTTTTTTACTTCACACTTGCCCACAAAAGATTGATGACATCACAACTTTATAGGATTAAAAAATGCAAACAAATGATAGACGTGTTTTTTATATTATTTTTAGACTTTTTTTTTTAATTAGCCGGATTTTTTTATACAAGCAGGGTGGAAATGTTGTTGTGATGGTTAATTAAAACTTATTGCCTCACTCGGTTTTACTGAGAATTCGCTTTTTCTTGTTTTTTGTTTACCACCCTCTTTTTTCTTTTATTTTTTTAATATTAGCGCTACTGGTCGTTCATAATAAAATGTGTGAATTACGGTTAAGAAATAACTTTATTTCGATAATTTTATTGGGAACTTTAGAATCTCTTAAAAACTTACTTTTATTATTGAGACAATAATCTACAGAATGAACTTTATAACTTGGTTTAGATTACAAAAAATACTTGTCCAATACTTCTTTTAAGAAAATGCCTTAAAACTATTAATTGTGTTGCTATAGACCGATCGACTGTAAAATTTTAACTCTTTGACTGTCAAGAAATTGTATTAATAAAAAGTCCATAAAGGGCAAATTAAAGATGGTAAAACTCCGTAATATGAGTGAGAAATAAAAATTAATAATCAACGTACTTAGCAATAAAACAAAAATTAGACGATTATGAGTTACTATTAAAACAAATTTTTTAAATTAAAATTATTATTTAAAATGTATTACTTTTAACTATTATCATTAAGATTTTAAATTGAAATGGTCAGTATACTCGTATATTTAAAAAAGTTTCTAGTTTGTTAATGCTACTTATGATTCTTTATAAAATGTTGAAACTTTAACTTTTTAGCTTGTATTATACTTATGTACTATTAAGTTAATATTATGTATAAGACGTTTAATATACATGTATATATATTTATATATCATCAACAAATGAGAAGCAATAGTTTTTACCTAAGTATTTATACTTATTTTTCTTTCAACTTACCTAAATGATATAAAAACAAATTATTTTCTCAATTTAAAAGGTTTTAATAAATACAAGTGCTGGTGAAGGTATAAGTTAAAAATATTTATTTAAGAAATTCAATATTAAATGTTATTAAAAATGTTCAGGATCATTTATAAAGTCGTAAAAAAAAAACGAGTTTAATTATTTTGTATTAAATACTTTGTTTTTGGCCTTTTAAATAGGTCGTACAGTTTTCAATTATTATTATTATCAACGTAATGGGGTTAATCCAAGGTTAATTATTTAGTAACATTATATAGAAATATTTAATTTAAACTCAAAAAGTATATCAAGCTATTAGCCCGTGATGTGGCAAATAGCACTGACACAAATTAATGATATAAAACGATAATTTAGCTATGGTTATATAAAAATAAAATTACCCTGGCGTGAACTTGACTGTCAGGTCGACTGGAAGCTTCACGTCAACAGTACCTGTAGTAGGGGAAATTTCAAATACATCATTTCCAGAATAAGCCAGAAAAGGCTCTTCACCTGTGAAAATGACAGAAATTAAATTTAAAAAATAAATGTGACAAAAAATTGTTGTCAAAAAGGAGGGGGGGGGGTACAGGTTATAACTTAGAGGAGGTGCGGTGGTGGTGAATGTCGTTGTTTCGCGCCACCACCGAGTAATCATCTTACAGGCGATTTGATGTTCAACAAGGCAGAAACGAGGTCGACGGTTCGAGTTAATCTATACGTTTATTATTTCTCGGGTAAATACTCGTCTATGCTGGCGTGTACTCTGTACCTGAATAAGAAGATAGCTTTACGGTTTCGCTTTTGGTGTCCCTTAAGGCTATTTGACCGAAATTAATGTTTTTCGTCGACAGTTTTAGCACCGGAAAGTGTATGTGCACCTTAAACGGAGATACAATCTGAGCACACAAAAACAAAAATCATCCGTGAATAATAATATAGTATTGACAATAAAAATTAGTCAATACGAAAAATAACCCTATAATCAGACGTTTTCGTTTCGTCAAACAAATAGTGAAACAATAATTTAGCGCTATTTAGCTTAAAGAGGTCGGTATCGTTAATATAATGTAATATTTATAGCCCCTCTCAAGTTCAAAAACGCGTTGAAAGAGTTTCTGTTGTGAGCTAACAGCCAATTTAATAATAATTTACCATAATACCTAAAACAAACAATAAAGGTGACAAAATCGGTCATCAACATACTATGGGCTTTTTTTTTATGAAATTATATTTGACAAGTCGCTATGCATTTCGCATGCGCTAAAGAAAGACAGAATATTTAATATACAGGTCTAAAATAAGATTAAATAAAATAAAATAAGATAAAATGTATTGTGGAAAAAAATATAAATGGTTTAGAATTTAAGAAGAAACGTTTATACATAAAAAGACACTAACGGCGCTGATGAAAACGCTCACGTATTGTTTCACAAACTATTTATATAAAATAACGCATTAATGTAGCTCTTTTTGATTAAAAAAAACTCTAACAAAAGAATTTATTATTAATGGACACTATTAATTATTATGTATATCTTATAAAATAATTTGTTATTTGTCTTTTCATTAGATTCGTCTCGTGTAAATATTACTGAAGAAGTATTCTATTAATAGTAAGTGTATACGTACAGTTTAAGATCACAACAGACATAATATAGTTATAGGTATATCCAAAAACATATAGGTATTATAGGTTATAGGTTCATATAACGTATATTAAATATATTTCATGTATAAAAATGAATATTTTTAATACATTTTATTTGAAAAACGTTTATTATGTACGAATATGAAAACCATTTAGCAGTTATAAATATGTTGTTAAAAAGCCATTTTTCGTTTTTTGAGTATTTGCTTACTAGCCTCTCCTTGGAAATAATCAAATATTTGAATGCGTTAAAGCTTTCGTGGATTGAAATTCCATTTTGTTGATTTTCGGATATATCCACGTTAGTATTTTTAGGTCGACGTTTCGATCTCATTGCAGAGTTCATATACTCAGTACCACGACAGCGGTACAGTCGTGACTACAACAGCCTGATGATGAACTCTGCAATGCGTTCGGAAACGTCGACCTAAAAATACTAACGTGGATCAGCAAAATAATCAAATATTGTCACGATGTTAAAGGTAACACAACCTGTAAAGTTCACTGCTTGACCCAATAACGGCATTGCGCCATACGGCTTGTAATTTGTTATTTATTTTTGAATACAGCGACCAATAAAATATGTCGAGGGTTGGGTTGGGTTCACATTTTTGGAATGCTCGATTTGTTAAAATTATAAAAACATACATTAAAGTATTCACTTAATAATAATAATATTACATATTATGTTCCAAATACATTATCATATTGTGTACATATTTTGGATTGATTTTGGATTTTATGCGTGTTATAAAAATGTTATTTCGGTTGGAATTTCGAGTTACTCGAATTCGGATATGCTATAAAATATTCGGCCGTTCGCAGTCGACCTGTGAAATCAGCAGACGAGAAAGAAACACGTACACCTAGATAAATCATGTACTGGCCACTTGGGACTAGTATATTGGCAATGCAGAAAACAACCTATTGAAACGGTTTAGGGACGGTAATGCGGTGCCACGCCCTAAAACCTGACTGTCCAGCCATCAAAAACGTTTGCGGCTTACCTACAACTATCGCGCGACTGCCCTTAACATACTTTCCGGTAGTTTTCTCTCAGAAAACTTTACGACACCACAAAGTAACAACAAAAGATAATATATAACAATATGACGTTTTTCAAAACTTACACTAGGAGTGGTCATAGAATCTATGCACTTGGCATAAAGACAGCCGGACAAAACGATTTTTCTCGACGTTCCATTTGCCGGCATTTTTGGAGTTATACAATTTTTCACTGTTACCACTGCGTCTATATCGACCTAAGCACAATTTGACCAACTAAATTGAATATGCATTATATCACAGATTATATAAAACCAGATGTGCACACTGTACTCTAAAAAATCAACAGATATATATGTATATATATATATATATAGACCTGACGGTCTCGCGTTAATCTATTAACGAACAATTGGATGTGTGTAATACTTATGTAAAACGTTGGGAGTGTTTACTCGAATTAAATCTTCGTAGATAACGCGAATCGCGGCGTTTCCGGATCTTGTGCCGCATCTTAAAGTTCGCACGGCGCTAATGCAAAAAGGTTTGTCCGCTTCGAAGAAGATTGTCGCCGGATACCGTAGTAGGTTCAACAAGGTGAAACGCCGGGTGACTTTGTGATACGAATCCGGAGAGCGGTAAATTTGAACGGCTTGGACCTTGAGAAACCCATTACTTTAATATAACGTCATTTTTTTTAGAAAAAGCATCGCGGAAAAAATAGCACGTCGGGTTTTTTGTTCGACTAATATAAAAAAAGACATTTTGTCCCGTCGCAGTTTTCCTCGGGTCGGTTTTTTTTTAGGAATTTTAATGACGTCTAACGCATTAAATTACCTGGAAAACATTATTCGGTTCTCGTACAAGAAAATTTGGCTGCAACGAATGTCTTGTTTCCGACTGAAGTTCTACTGTAACCGGCGGCATCTTGAACCCAGTGACTCGATTGCAATTTTTTCTAGAACAACAATTATACGATTTTTTTGAAATTCCGAAAATAATAAGTGAACGTTTGGAATTTATTTTTTAAATTTATGTGTACGGGGGAACGATTGGGCGCATGACTTCTCTTATAATATTACCTATTTACAAAGGTCGATGGTAATGTCCATGGTCATTGGTCATAGAACAAGTAAAAAGTATTTTGCGTGGCCACTGGACTTGTTTTTACACTTTAAAATTAGGGGTTAACGTTCTCTTGCACCTTATATACTATAAATTATAATAAAAAGTTTTCGTGTCACGATTACCTTAATAATGAGTTTTCAGTACTATTACAATGCTTATTAGGTATTATTTATTAATGTACCTGATACAATTACAAATATGAGATTTGTCACGTTATTAATGTAAAACATTATATTATATATATATATATATATATATATATATATATATAAGCTACTTAGGATCTTTTTATTTTAAGGCAGTCTCTAAATGTATTATACATTCATTTGCGTACGAAATGAAGCATGGTCATTTTTTTATAGAATGATCACAATACTTTTACCATTTTAATGTATAATTGTTTAAAATTTTTTTTTTGTTAAGAGCGATAAGTTAACTTTTAAAAGTTTCCATACTATTTTACTTACTACATTAGGTTATTTAGTACTTACTTTATTTCTAAAACAATATGGTTATACTATTACTTATTTTATTTATTAAAATATAATATATTACTCGGGAAATTTTACTGCAGTCACTATGCCAATTGCTTGTCCAAATACAATATTATTACTGTTACGTTTAACATACATTTCTTTAGTTCGATCCAATGAAAATGTGACAAAATCTGCGTCATTCGGTTCCAGTACCAACGTAATAGGATCTACCTAAGTAATAAATCATAACTCAATATTTATTTTAAAAATATACATCCATTAATTCATCCATAATGAATAGTGCAAACACTAAAAAAATTTAATTAGCACATTATCTACTCTTTGATAAATAGATTTATATCATTCTAAAGAACTGGATTTGGCAATAATTAAGAAGCCGGTGAACACTTGTTCGTGGATGAGACAAACGAAAGAAGTATTTGAGAGGTCACCTAAATGTCCTAAATGAAACATCATTATGCTATAATCTCAACTTAAGTTTATAGCTATGGTTTTTTATAGTGTATCGATGAAATAAATCTTAATAGACAACTAAACTATATTACCGTTAATGTTTATATACTATTGTTTATTGCTTATGGCGAGATCTTAAGACAGTCATTACTTATTTTATCGCCAAGTGCCCTCACTTTAAAATACTGCGACGTCGACCCGTAGTGAGGCATTATTCTAAATGACCAAGGATCTGGAAAATCTGGAGTCAACATGTCGAGTACTACTGAAAACGGTTGATTCGCTTCGCCTTTATTGTACAAGAGCCACGATACGTGAATCGGCATTTCGCTTTTATTTTTTATCTTCAACCGAATCGACGTGTTCATTGAATACAAACTAAAGCTACAATATATATCACAATAGATTTACAATAATTTTTTTTTATTAACAATAATAATTTAACAACATTAACGAAATTGCATTGCAGCCAATATTGTGCGTATTACATATTAAAATATTCGGTTTTGAACTTCATTAAAACTGGAAAGTCCAAAATGAAGAGTGTTGAACAATTCAAAAATGACTTAGATATATTATCGATAGGTCATAGGGCACATGAGTATTTTTATAAAAATATTAAAGAAGTCTCGAGTTTGCGTTTAGCACAAAACTGTTGCCTAACATAAATTATTATAAATTTGTAAAACCAAAAGTATCAAAGCGAATCAAGACGAGTACTAGTTTATTGAACTGTGTACATGTATACAAATTATATTAACGGTATTCGACAATAAATCGTATTACCTCGAAAACATGTACACGAGTGTTTTCATTTTGTAGTTTGATTAACTTGGACATAATACAGCGTTACATTGCCATAATTTTGATTGATAAAATTTGAAATTTTCTAGATATAATAGCTGTTATCATGTCAGGGCAAATGTAATATTTCTTTGCCGACTTTTACAGAGTAAGTATTTTATTTGGTGTAATAAATAATGGATTTTTGAAAATTTAGCCTTGTGCGTTGGAATTCTTTCCGTTTTCTATCGATCACGTACCTAGCTGTGGCGACGGGTCCGGGTGGCGTGGCCAGAGGAAACTCTACAGGGTACGTGACCGCCAAGACTGCGATGGGTATGCGAATGGCCGGCAGCACATCGTCGCCCGCATGGAGCTCTATCGACACCTCGTCTTCGTACTCGCCCCAAACTGTGGCTAACGCGCTCACAGATAAGATAAACTCGGCTTGGCCCGCCAGTTCACTATTGACAACATCCAGCCAAACCACACAATGAGTGTTCGACGCTTTCATCAACTCTAACAGATAAAAATTAAAAAAAAAAAAATTATTTGCTAGCCATCGAACTCCATCAGTTCAACCATTGGATGGTATCTTTAAACAAGTCGTACACAGCCAATAATGTATCCTCCTGAAATGGTCATTAGAACGCTAACATAATATGTGGCTAAACTAAAATTGTTCACTTTAAAATTGGTATAATCATATGACCGATAATGGGTTTCCCGTTGTCCTTTGCAAATAAGTATGCGCCACTACTTCTTGGTACTTTTTAATTTTATTTTATGCAAACAATCGAAAGCCTCTATTACGGTAACCTTTACCATTATGTTATAACGTAATATGTTGATGGCTTAAGACTTAAATCTCAAATATTTATTTGAGGCGCCACGCCGGAGAAAAAATAATATTGAGTAGTCACAATCTAGTCTATAATTTTGGAGATAATCCAAGAAAACAAAAGCACCAATAAAAATTGGCTTGTGCGTGAACATAATATATTATGTATTTCGGGGAATGTTTGCGGTTTGGTGAGTATTCGAGATATTTCACATATACCGGAAAACATAAAAACAAAGGAATTCATATAACATATTTAGCAACTGACTATAGGATGAACCCATACAAAATGTATAGGTTTAAAAAAAGTGGTGCAATCAACACGCATAACTTCTTTTCAACATTATATTATTATGTGAATTTTAAGTTTAATTTGAGTAACACTAAAACTAGTAGAAATAAAGTGTATAATATTTTTTATTAGCTTTTTGCAAAATATAGGGTAAGTAGTTTATTTTATGGCACAAAGAGCACATACAATTGTATGCAATCTTGAGTTGTTGAATTGTTTGTTTTGTGTTGTTTTGAATAAAAAGTTTTTTATGTGTGTAAGTTCCGTGCTTACTGTGTAATAATATTCTAAAATGGTCACTCCAATTTATTATCCGATTAAGGATTTATCATCCAAGTAGAGTGGAAGGTTTTACATGACTATTGACGCCTTTTTATCTTTTTTGTACGTAGAAAACTGAAACAGTTTCTGGATCTCTACCATGAAAAAAATCGTTTATTTATCACTTGATAGTTTTACGGGTTTCACTTAAACGATATTTTTCGAATGAGTTGTAATGAACTTATGAACCGATTAAATTGTTATAGGAAATACACATTATGATATTATACTGCATTATATTTCATAGTAGAGACAAATCATAAATTATTACTTATTTTGTTACTGCTAATCACGTATTCGATATTATAAACTAAGAAGTTTAGAGTATTAATTTAATGTCTTTTAGTTAATATTTTGACTTCTATTTTGATATTTTTTTTTTAGAAAATCCAAGTTAATTTACAAAATGTTACACTTAATAATCAGTATGTGATCATGCGACTTATGATTAAATAAAAAAACTAGCTACTTATCATGTTCCAGTTTTATAAGACAATACTACTGTAATGACTAATTTGGAGATAATGAAACAAACCATAAAATATGTAGATATAATAGAAGAGAACAATGAATAAAGAGGGAATGTCACTTTATCGATACAAAATATCATCTTGTTATGGTGTTTTATACCTAATGAGGTGTTATAAAATTCAAAGCTTTATCGAAAAATATGACTTTCACACGAATAATGTTTTTTTTTAAAAAAAGCTTGCTATTTATATAAACACACCTATAGATGTATCGATTATTTTGTGCTTATCTTTTTTTGACAACGTATCTTTAATGGTTCTGACGCGTGCATTGAAATTGATTGATCCTTATAATATATACAATATAATAAGACAGACTTTCCACAGCAAAAGCACCTTGTTCCGCATTATACAGTGTACATACAAGCTGACTAAACATTTTTAAACTAAATTAATGCTCACTCAAAATGTTTAATAATTATTATATTAATGATGTGTATTATTTATTATTTTTGCACAACTCCTGACGTTTGATCTCATTCAGTAAATATTTTATTTATCAAACAATCGAATAGGGTAAGTAAAAGTACTTTCGATATGCGTAACAAAGTTGTAAAATGGTCAGAATTATTTAAATAGTTTCGTCAAGTGCTTAACAAATAATAAACAATAATAATTATAATTATTTAATCAAAAACCCAATACGTAAAATATCTTAATCGTAGGTTTTGTTCATGCGATGGTCAGATTCAATGTAAAAAATAATTTTAGTTTCAAATATAGTTTGAGCACATACTGTATATATTCATTTTTGAAGGAGTCTCTCTTTTTAAAGTATATTCTTATTAACACATCCTTGGCGATACAATATTTTGTCGATGCATTATTTATCATCACAATATTTCCTCTCTACTACCATTATGTTAAGTAATCGCTAAAGCAGTACTTTTATATAACGCTTTTCATTTTATGTCTTCATCTGCAACGTATTATGAAGGAGAAGAAGAAAATAGGGACGTTTAAACGACTATACTAAAAAAAATATGTTTTTAATCAACCTATTTTTTCTTATCTTGTAATTCAAAAGACCAGGCAATAACGGAAGATTGGTTTCGTTTCATAGAAATAGGAATTAATAGCTTTGATGCAATGTAAACAAATGGTGTATCATTATTTATACTCATTTTTTGAACATCTATATTAAAAACAATTTTTTCCTCAAAAATAGCCGAATATTAGGTTAGGTTAGGTTATTACAACTACTATGATTGCATTGTTACAATTGTTTAAATAAAAAATGTCTTTTCAGTATCTGGCATATAATATCCTTATACTATATTATTCTTATCTTTATATTCTTTATTAGTACAAAGAAGATACATTTTTTTACCCAAATATATTACCGTGGACGATGTAATTATAATAACAGCACTTTATATTTGTACGACACACAATAAATAATTCAATTGCTCTTTTATTTATTTACTGCTTCTACCTAAGCTCCCCGTGGAAATATTTAAAATGTATTATACATATTATTATTATATTCATACTACGAAAAATTAAATGTCTTGCTTGGTAAATTTATTGAAATTCTTTTTAACTCCCAAGAGAAAAATACATTTTCAAAGTTTTTTGAAAAAACGTTTTAGGTTTAAGCATAATTAATGTTCAAACATTTTACTCAAAATAAATAATTACAAAGTTTAAATATAATTTGACAATTTCACTATGGTGTAGCCCTTAAATCTACATTCTACAGCTTTGATAAATATTCTTATTAAGAATACTGAGTAATTATAAAAAGAGTTAAAACTTTTTATTAATAATATTTAGCCTGCATTATTAATTCTAATGTCAATATTATAAAATAACTTAATTTAGTAATAATAGCATTGTGCAAATAAGTATTCGTGGATATGTTACAATAAATAAACAAATTAAATTGGTAAACTTATTCAAATTTCGAGTAAATTATAAACTACGGAGTATTATAAATTCTTCAAACAATTATCATATGTGTGGAAAACAAATTACCTGAAATACAGATATCTTATATTAAATTTTAATTAGGTGTAATAATCACTAACCTAATATTTCATCAGGCTCTAGAATTCTATCTCCTCTACATTCATTATTAATTGCTGAAAGTCCAAAGTTTTTGACAGACGACAGACACCGACATGGAATGTCCGTAATGTTGCGAATTGTAATTTGTTGTCTGCTCACTAAAAGTTATTAAAAACAGTACAATACGAATTTTGAGATACTTCATTTTAGTTAGAGAGTTAATTATTGTTCTTCCTTACTATCCAACTTATAAAATATTTCCTAGTGTAGTAAATAATGTATACCAACAAGGATTTATCAATTTAAGTATTTTTTTTTAGATAAAATCATATTTTTATATTACATTTTGTCTAAATGATTCTAGTCATCGACCATCATTTCTGATAAAATAAACAATCAATCTACATTTATTTTAACTTTAAATTACAAACAAGCAGTAAGGTATTATAGTTTATAAGAAGATAAATAGTTAATAGGTAGAAAAATAAACATTACATTTTTTTATTTTCAAAATGTAGCTAGAATTTTAAATATCTATAAAATTGTAATAGATTTTAGGTATGAAAAAATGTAAAATTCTGAAATATCTAATATTATAATACCTCCAACCGTAGTTAGTTTATGTTTTCAATATGAGTCTTATGAGTAGTATTGTGTCATACAATCGGTCAATATAAAAAAATAATCTGTTTGAATGATTGTACACCTTTAAAGCAACCATTCGAAACGTAATCGTATACATACCCACATTGCACTGTAAGTCTTTGAACGCTATTGGATGGTTGGACATTCGGCTATATAGTTTCGAGTCTTGTATCTGTGAGTTCAGTGGCGCCGACAATACGTCACGTTCCTGCCATTCGCTGCTACGCCATTTGGCTGGTTCTTGGTCTTCCGGTCTACACACCATTATCACATCCGGTCAGTATACTTATACGCCCGACGGACCAGGCATTTTTAAGAAAACCGTTGCCCACAAGAGATAAACTATCAATACATTTAACGTAGAATAACCGAAGAACTTAGTAACATTGCCAAAAAAATGAAAAATAAATAATCTCAAACTAAGCAAAATAATAACTTACCACGAAAAAACTGGACATTTTACATTGGCTATAATACGTTATATTATTTTAAAAGTGTTATAGTTTCCTATATGGATTAAATGGTTAAAACGTGAAATAAATTAAACAAGCATATTACTCGAACTCGTTTTCCTCAAAAAGTTCAAATTTAAAACTCTGGTTAGGTGGCATCCTCAAAACGGTGTCGTCTAATGAGAAGAAATCTTCTGCTTCTATGTTTTCATAATCGCAAGGTTCATCTTCTCTGTTTACGTCACTCCACTGTTCTTCACTGATAAACATTGAAAAAAAAAATATTCTACAGAGAAATTGTTTGTGTACAAATGCGCGATACAAAATTCTTTGATATTTTAATATTGAAAAAACCTGTTATACATGTATATATAGTGTACAGGTCTGAGTTGTGGAAGACGTACTTCAGTACTTGGAAATATATCAAAAGAGAATTAATGCGCTGCCGAGATTACTTTATTTACCTACCGATCAAACGGCTATAAATTCGTCTATAGAAAGATTTCCTTTTATCCTTTATGGGTCAGCTGTTCATTTTATATTGAGTACATATTATCATACACATACACACACACACACACACACGCGTATACATGTATGGTAAACACAGAAGTGGTACGTTTTTGGTATTCAGAAAATAAAATGTAAATAAGTACTGTTCGTGATCGTATAGTTCTCGTGAAAGTAAAGAAAGTGTCTGGATATTGTAATTTCTTATACACGTACTCGTGCGGCCATTGTATTTTCCTGTAGACTTGTGTGGAATCTACGTAAGACACTTGGGCTCCAAAACCTTTGGCCGTGAATTCGACGGTTATTTGTTCGGGTACGGCGGCGTTTTGTATGAAACACGGAACGGAAAATTTGTTATGCAAACCCTGCCGGAAACATCATATTATATTATATTTAAATAACGCGTAAACCCAAAAACCCGCCGCAGATCATTAAGTAGTCTTACTCACGGCGGTCTTGGGGATGACGACCAGCTCGAATTCAACGGACGAGTCACCGTCAACTACCCCATTAGCGGGTTCCAGCCAACAGTGCACGTTATTAGCCACCGTCTCCAGGGGATTGCCCCAGCAGTACGTCAGACCGCAACGTGTATTATTGAACAGACAAATACCTTTGTGGCGGTGGGTTACGCCCTTGTATAGGGGTCGGTGGAAAGACACTATTCGTTGATTGAATTGCACGTCCGGAGGTTTGACTACCGCAACGGTTTGGTTGTAGACGTTGTGGCATTCGGCGAACGTCCATTCGGTCAGTTCACACGAAATTCCATTTGTCTATATTATATGGACATTAATACTGTTGATTTTGTTTGGGTACCCTTCTTTGTACTCCTAGTGTGCCCTTACTTAATTTAATATTGACCGAAAGACGAGCATATTTATTATTTATCTAGAAACACTTTGTCCTACAATGGTACATTTTACATTTCTATAACGTGTTCATGACATTAACCCTACCAATGAGTTTTTGATATCTATTTATTGTTTTAACATTGTATTTTTTTTTTTAAATTTAATTCGAATACTCTGGTTGTTAATAATTCATTCGTATTTGCCTATCCTTACTTGGGTGTTGACTACTGTTTCATAATTTATTGACATATAAATCATATTCTTCACGCCTATTCCTTCGGTGCACGACCCAAATGATTGTTCACTGTGCGGCTGCCACGTTTCTTCGTCGTTGCCATTAAAACGATACAGCCTTTTTGTTATTAACTCGAAATTATTCATCCCCGAAGTAAATTCTGTCCTATAAGTTGCCAACGTGCCAGCGCAAAGAATCCCCAAACGTGGTAGAGTTGTTGGTCGGACGATGACTTGTGGCTGTTCAACAAGTCCTCGGACATAGACCACCACGTCACTAGACCCGTCAATGTTTGTAGCTCTGAACCTCAATATATGTCGGAGGCGACCCGATCCTCTGGGATCAATTAGCACACGAACTATAGCTCGATCGTCGACCACCAAAGATTCAGGGGCCACTTCAAAATTTACAACAGAGTGAGAATCATAGTCGTGAGAACAGTTATTGTCAACGCAACTGTGTTCATCCGGACGTATCCATGACACGGTTACTGGGAGTTTTCCTTTGTTTTTAAAATTAACAGTTTCTTCCACACACATGCCATCGCTTTTTAAAGTATAAACATTTATATACATTGCAGTGGCTATATAAATTTAGGACTTAAAATTAATTGAATTATTTGACGCCTAAAGGTATATTATTGAGATTGATAGTATTATCTGAGAAACTCAAAATGTCCTACAAAATAGTTGTAAATTCTATCACGAATAGCTAAATCTAACCCGAATTTCTTTCAAAAGTACAAATAATATTATAATGTTATCCTTGAATTATGAATGATTACCATGATGCTACCGTGCTAAATTAGGTATTTATAGAAAATTCACTAACGACCTTACAAGAATTGTAAATTATAATTGTATTACAATAAATATTTCATACAATGTTTCAAATTTTAGCATGACTTCATTATGAATCAAAGAAAATGAATTTATTGATTTTTAACTTGTTAGTTCTATGGTTAAATATATTTTGAATTGGTAAAGGGGTGCAAACAAATTTATTGCAAAATGCAACGCTTAGAAATAGGTAAAGATTAAGAGTAATTATTATCAAACAGTTATTCAAAATTTCGTTAAGTATCAACGGGACACTTTAAGACATTTGTCCCAAAAAAAAAAAAAAAACGAATGTCTGCAAACTGTTAACACATTTCAGCGATGTTTACCAAAACGGTATTTGCTTCATTTAACATCCGACTTTGACCATACCGTTTTATCCTTACACAAATTATAATAATAATACTACCCTTTTTATTGTTGTTACTACAGCTGTATACATATTATAATGACAGACACGCTTACCCGAGTTTGTATTGATACGAATTCAAATCCACTATTTTTGGGTACACGTCTAAATTGATGTATTCCTTGCCCTTGTACTCTGATATTACTTCTAGCACAACTACTTGCACAGTGACTAACTGCAAAAGAGTGACAAACATTTTGAATACAATATAGGTTATGGCATTATATAAAATATTACACAAGGGATATTCCACGTGGATTTAAAGCAACAATTAATACCAATCATATTTTGAATTTTCCTAAGACTTATAATTATTTTATTAAAATTACTGCTATACAGATTGAATTGGCCATTCTAAAAACGATAAGTCATAAAATCTAAATTTTACACTAAGCAAAAATAATTTAAATACTCTAGAAATTGAACAAACTTTTTATTGTCACCTATGTATAAGTTTATTTTTTGGAAAAATCTAATTCATTTTTAACAACAATTATTTTATATTTGATTAATTAGTATTTATTTATGCAATAAAAACTCTGTATAGTGATTTCGGTAAATATCTATCATTTTAGACCGATGTGTTAACTTCTCTTGAAATGACTATAATAATAGTGTGAAATCTGTAACACAAAATACATACAAAAATCATCGAAATACTAAATATATCTTTAGTTTTATACGACGATTTTAAGTGCACAATGTTCACTTCGTCGTTTATAAGAAAAGTGACTGTCACTTAATCTTGAGTTTAATTAAACGGAAAGACTTAGGTACCGTAGCCGTTTGCACGTATTTCATTGTTGTTTTTTGCGGTCATGAAATAATACGTTCGGAAATGTTGTGCTGCTGTCAAGTCCACGTTTTTAGAAAATAATCAAAAATATTGTATCGACTTGGAAGCATCTCTAACATTTATCTCGTCACGTTGACATTATAAACAAATTATACTACATTACGTTCTACAGTCCACGCTGTATAATTTCTAATTTCATTAATCGTCGGCTTTTGTGGTTTTACCCTCCATTCATAGCGGTTAATTAAGTTTAATTAGTCTTAGCGTATATGGGGACTTTAAATTCGGACTAATGGTTTTATTAGCAGGGCAAGATATAGCTTGAATAAATTCTACAACAACAATATGTGTTTGCTTAATATAACGGGGATCCTATAACAAACTCTATAATAACTTTAGACCATCATACTCCTAGAGAATATATTATAAACACATAAATTGTATACACATCCATTTTTATATTATACGGATGAACTAACTTATTTGAAATGAAATAGTTTTTATAACAATAATAATATACTACATTACCTCAGGATTGGCTTCGTTTGCTATCTTGAGAACGGTGCCATCGTCATTAGTTAAGCTGGCTCTTGGAATATCATCAATCAACAAACTATTTGTTCCATTGTAAAAAATACATAATTTATTATTAAGTGTCATTAAAATACTATAAATATTAAAACAAAATCCATTGTTCCAGTTAGCCTACAAATTTCTCGATTCTTTTAGGGGTTTTTCAATAATATGTCTTATAATTTATCAATAAGAAACATTAATCGATTTAGCAAGAAAATATAGTCGGGTGTATTATTGTTACATGTTAGAAATTATTGTATTATTTTATTATTATTTAACTATTTTTGTACCTTGATAGTATTATTTATCTAATATTACCTTATTTATATTATTTCCACGCACTTGCATACAAATAACAATATTCATTATTATATTATGAACAATACCTTTTTTTTCTATATTGTTAAAATTATAATATTTAATAAAAACTTCACAAAACTTTTGCCTCAAGCTTGTGGTTTTACATAGTAGCCAACCCTCATCTTTATTGGCAGTAGGTCAAACGGGTAGACTATTATTTTGTTTTACTCTCTTTCTGAATGATTTAAAATACGGTTCTGCTATAGAAAGCCATTATTTTAATTGGATAAACATTACATATTCTCTCTATTATTTTCTTCTACTTGTGATTCAATCGTACAAGAGCCTGGTTTCATATTATTTTAAACCAAGCGGTTTCTTCCTTTCTGAGTGTACTTGGGTTTTCTGATAATCAGTCGACGTGGACTACGCAAATGTGGTTATTATAGCCAGCACAGTAATAACTCTTGTCTGATTACCATGAGACATGAATTTACTATTAAATATTAAGTATATAAAGTTCAGCTAAAATTCATAAAGTCGCGGAACTTTAGGAAACTGCCACCAGGTAAAAGAAAATAATAATATTTGCGTAATAGGAAGTGGTTAAAAGTACATTTTTAAGAAGAACATTAGAATTTAAAATAACATTAATGTGAAAATAACCTCTGATAAATTTTGCACAATCAAAACAGCCTAAATGAATCAGTAAAAAATATGGAAAGTTTACTTACTTTTATTCTATTCTACTTAATACATTTTTTTAAAATTTTTCTTTCGATTACTTAATGTTGTATAAATAAAACGGGGTTTTAATAATTTATTGCTGCCATGTATTTTTCTTTACTGAAATCTTAAATAAGTTGTATCGGTTAGATATAGAATTAAATTGCGTTTAATAATTTACTATAAATTTATTATATTTAGTTTAAAAATAAACTATACATTTATTATATTTATTTTAAAAATAAACTGTAGAGGCTTCTAATTATAAAAATAATCAATAAAGAAACAAATTAGTGAGCGTCCTGTTTATTATACCGTGAATTTTGGAAAAGTAAATTGCTTCTATGTGAGGTAAACTTCAAACCAATTAGTGCGCTACGTTGAAAAAATAACAGTTTTTTGGAAGTAAAACATTCAGTATTTTATAAATGAGGTATAAACTAAACTCATTGTAATATTAAAATACTAGGATATTAGATGGTAAGATGTTCAACAATACAACAATTACATAATCTCTATAAATACAGTTTTTTTTTATAATTTAAGTAAAAAAAAGTAAAATGTAGTTATTATTAACGGCCATTTGGTTTTTATTTATTTATAACAATGACTATAAAAGAAAAAAATTGATTTTTTCAGTTTAATTTTTTTAGTTAAAATAATACATATCGTTTTTAATAAAATAGTTTTAAAAATATTTCACTGCAGATAAGTACAACGATAAGTTGTCTTGAAAAGAATTATCTGCCTTTATAAGCCATCAAATATGTATTTATAATCTGGAAATGATTTATAGGAGTTTGTGGAGAAAATTTAATAAAACTGAGTACAAAGTGTACAGTATTTCGCATTACCTTTATTTCTAGTACGCATCAGAATTAATGCGCTAGGTCGAAATTAGCATAAAAACCCAATTTTGTGTTTTTCGTCTGAGTGGTGTGGATTCTAAATATTTTTGTTGGGAATTAAACTTCAGCGTCATTTGCCCATAATCCAGTTTGTTTTATATATTTGGTAAAACTTTTTTTATTGACAATCGCACCCCTAATAGCCGCTAGAGCGCTTGATTTCCATTATCAAGACTGGAGTGGGATGTGTTTATATTATTCTGTCCAAACATCTACATTAATTTTATGTGTATTTACACTTGGCAGTAATGCGAATGCCTTTAATTTTTTTAATTTCTACTGTCATTACTCATTTTGTGAATTTTATGCTATTGTATTTTATATGCAACGTTTTTAACGCATTATACCCCATAGTGTATTATACTCGTGCATAATTAATTAGGCAAATGACGTTTAATAAAATCTGAATATGGTTGTTTCGCTGAATAGCGATAGTTATCATTATTGTTATTATTTTTTTTAAATCATTCTAAACGCCAACAATGAGAGTACAATTAATAATACCGTATAAAACATTTTTTTTAGACGGTCAGCAGAGACATTTCCTAAATCAATTAACTAATATTCCAAAAATGTAATACTAGTGCGTAGGGTGATATACTCTAAACAATATTAAATCTCAATAGCTGTTATACAATTTTGTATATTGAATTCGGCCTTTTTTCCTAATTTTGATTCTGTATTGTTTTTTTCGATTGGAATTCTTTCCGAGTACACATTTAAACAATGGAATATAATATAGGCAGTGAACGACGGTTATGCGACTCTTAGAACTAATAACGCGAGCACTTACGAGACGAAAACTTGATACTTCCCGGTAAGTTGTTGATCGACAATCGTATCGGTGACAGAGCACATGATCTGGAATTCGGTCTCCGAATTGGCGTTCAGCATTCCTTTTGCCGGATAAACGTTGAAATTTACCGTGGCCTCTTTTGACGACGACGTGTCGAAGGAGTGATTGACGACCCATCGGTAGGGACATTTGATCCTGCTGAACGGTAAGAAATAATGAAGAAAGAAAAAAAGAAACTGTACACTAAAGATTTATCACATCGTCGATTGGGTCGGTGCAAATAACTGAACTAATAAGCAACTGATTCGCACGAGTACACAACAACAATTATTATTATTTCATTAAAGATACACAACCAAACTGTTTTTAGACGTTATATTTACAAAATATAAATTATAAAGAAATACACTATGCACATTGTATAGCGTTACGCACGTGTTAACTTGACTTTTGGTAGCTTTCAATCAAAAGTTTAACGATAAATTAACGAACAAACGATTACAGTCCCAACGGAATCGCACTTGTTTCTAATGTTCACCAAGTCGCAATAAAAAATAACCAGTGGTTACAGGTTGTGGTTAGAGATAAAAAAATGTATTTTAAAACGATGATTTGAACCAACATCAGCAAATCGTTAAGGCAGCTTCCAAACGAGAAAAAAAATAAATTCCTTACACGATTTCGCTTTAAAGTAAAAATATTCTACTTTTTTTTGTTGTTTTTTATTTGAAAGGTAGTTTCTATCATTCATACTTAAAACCTAAAAATATGTTTAGTACAACATCCATTAGTACCTCTATTTAAGTGGAAATTTAACTATTTAATACCATTTCAAATTTGATTAATTTATTAAAGTCACAAATGTTTCGGGTTTATATCAAGTTATTTGTTTTTAATATTGTACTAATTGATCTCGTTGAATTTTTTATTCTTGTAGAAAAATCTATTTGAAATGAAAATAAAAAGGTATATTTTAAATACTTAAAAACTCACTTAATGATATATTTTAATGAAATTATTCAAACAGAAGTCTCAATAAATGTAAGTTTTATTTTAGACCGATTTGCTGAGCAAACGCATGAAAATTCTCCAACACCATTTAAATTATTATTGTACATGATTTTTTGAGATTTATAAATATATTGTAATATTTTGTAATTTTTGTTTTCAGGTTAGTATTCTCAGATCTGTTTTAGTCAAAAATAAAAAAAAAATCTTCGAGAATCCTGAATTTGTGTGAGTGATGTATAAAGTATAGTAAATATATTTACAAATTATTTCCCTAATAAATAATAATATACGGAGCTGTGACTTTAACTACCTAAACCTATCCATTAGGTAATGAGTATTACAAATTATTTTCACAATAATATTCTGAGCTGTGACTATAACTGACCAAACGTGGCCATTAGTTGATTGGCCAGACTTGTAATAGAATCATCAAGTAGGTTACCTAGAATAAACTACCGGGTCGTTTCTGGGATACGACCCAGGAAAGTTTTTTAGATTGGGAATACGAGAAAACGTAAAACACAATAACTAGTTTTTCAACTTGAAAGGTAATTAGAATGTTCTAACGTTTATTTCAGTGAATCAAATAGCTATTCGTTTCCAAACAAAAAATTACAAATTGCATTTGTATTGAAATTTCACTGCATGCTTACCTACCGCACATTTACTACAAAAGCCAACAGCTGAGGGTTTTACGCATACAATAGGATTTAAAGACATCCCTTTACGGTACGAAGGGAAATTATCTATTTTCCCCATCGCTCCGTAGTTAAAATATTGTCTAGGAAATCTCATTGCGTTGTGTGTACGAATAAATCTATTCTGTATCGTTATCCGACCCATTCCGAATCTACTATGTGTACTATTACTATTATCCGTGCCCTCCCTGCCCTGTTCAATGCCAGCGGCTAGCATGTTATCACGTCCGTCCCATCTGTTTCCTTAGGACGCCCGCGCACACATACCGACCGGCCAAAGCTGCGGACTTACTGCCGTCTTAGGGTTATCGTTTTAGCGCGAACCCTCTATCTTCTATTTAACTCACCTTGTGTTCTTAACGTTCACACACCGAACTACTTGGCCAATTTCACCTACGTCGAGAACGTACCGGCGCGTCATTGCCGTTTCCGGTTGCGCCGTTGCCGGCTCAACACCTAGACCCTACGGTGGATTCAAAAGATTTATTACCAGTCTACCAGTCAGTTTCCGTTTGACCGTCTGTCTTCGACCAATACGATTATCGACGATTTCTTACCTTCAACCGAAAAATCTTGGTATCGAACGATTGGCCGTCACCGAAAATGTTTACTTCTTGCGCACACGAGTTGTCTGAAACGATTATCATCTTAGCACACTAAAAGAAAAAAAAACACACACAATCAATTAATTAATGGTACATAATAGATAAACGGATTTTAAGTACATTATTTACGAGTTGATCGATTATATATTGTTGTGTACACAGAAATTCAATCAATTTAATGGGATAAAGGTTTTCCTTTCATTTCGGAAATGGAAAATATTCGTGGATAACGGAATAATCCGAAAAAGGAAAGTTTCCAGGCGACAATTTTCCTTATAAATTAATATATTTTGGGAACTTATATTATATTACCATAATAGTTTGTGAATCAACTCGACAACGTTAAAACTACCCTTAAAGTATTAAGCAAACATTGCAAAGTTTTGTTATGAGAAATTTGAAAAATTAAACGTTAAATATCCTTGTTGTTGTAATAGTTAAAGACAACTGGAAAGCTTAATTAAAGGGAAATATTTTCAAAGTAAAATAGTTTAAGTAAATCAAAGCTCAATTAAAAGTATTAACTTTTAATAAATTACCTTCTTAATTACTATTAGTTTTAAAATAACATTTACGTGAAATGACGGCACAAGTGGTTTGAAAGTGACTTTTAACAGTATTGATTCGTTGTACCTGATCTTGAATACCGACGGCGTGACTACAAAAGATTCGAGTCTCAATTCATCTAATTCTAAATCCTAAAAAAAAAATCAACAGTTGAATCTAACTTACAGTTCTTGGCAGCGAGCAAATTAAGATGAAAGGCAATATAACATACAGTATCTTCCCAATGTATACTATTATCACTATAAAATAGTGAGTACTACTCACAAGTAACTAGCCAACGCTCTTATTATTAGCCCAAGTAGATATCATCGACATCTTATTAAATATAGTCTACCTATGATATCAATTATCAATCTATACTCGTCTACTTAAAATTAATAACAATAGGCATTATGGACAGTGACCAGAAATTTTAGACCGTAAATGTTCTACATAACATATTATGGTAAGGACAAAATTAAATATTAGTGAAAAAATAGTGTACGTTTTAAGATGTTATGTTCACTTTCAATTAAAATTCGAGGAGTACAAAAATAACAAATTTAAAGTCCAACAATAATAATTAGTCATTAGTTTATAATTTGGTTTAAACCTACTTCGACCGCTTTTAAGTACCAAAAATCTTCAGAAACACATATGAACATGCTGGAACGACCTAAGTTTTTAACTACCACATCTATTGTTTTCGAAGCGCCCACAAGGCAAGCGTGGCATTCAAATACGAACATTTCAGACAAGTCTTCTTCGTTTAATTCTTTATCGTACATCCCGGGCAGCGAATCAAACGTTTTTATAGTATCTAAATGACAAAATTACTAAATAATTTTTGTCGATAAAGTTACAGCGTATAGTGATGGTTATAGGTTTAAAATTATAGAAAAAATATATTTGGTAATTTTTTAATTAAAAAATATCGAGGCACAGATAAAACTAATTGTTATTCTATAATAAACCTTTATAAAATATAAATAATAAGTTGGTTAAATTAAAACAATCTAATTTTATTGGAGTTTTTAGTCAATTCAGCTTTATAGAAAGTTTTTAATACATTTTACATTGTATCATAATACATAGTTTTTAAGTGAACTATGTACTGTTCTGTCACTTGAAAGACCTCTAAAAAGCATATCTATATAAAATTAACATAGAAATAAAATTGGAAAGCTAATATAATATATTAATTATATATTAGTTGTTAAGTTGTATGTATTGGTATAGGACTTTTATAATACAATTAATATGCAAAAAAGATAGACGCTACTTGTATGTCTAGAAAAAAAAATCAATACTACTATTCGAATGTCAAAATAGAAATACCATACTAAAAACAATAAACCTATTAGAATTTTTTTCATTTAGTTAAAACTTTTCAGTTAACATTTTTTATTTTTATACAAATCTACAAATTGTATGTAAAATTAGCTTTTATATAGGTAACCTATTTTATGGCTAGTATAATATTATTATATTTATAATTTTGTAAAAACTCGAATTTTCGTTGCTCCACCCCTATTAAGCGTACCTGAAGGTTTACAAGAATTTGGTTTATACTTTTTTCAAATTTCTTAAAATATCTTAAATATATTTACATCTTAGAATCGGTTTGTAATTTTCAGCCATAATAAACAAGTTTGTAAAGTGGTTTCCTTCTTCGACCAACCATATTAGGCCGAACTTATCTTCATAAGACCTACAGTTAAAATTCACCGTTATTTTCGAGCACATGCCTGGTGCTAGTGGGCCTTTAGGATAATAGTCAAAATCAAATTCATTGGGAAAATCTTTTCTCGGTAGTATTTTAAACGATACAATACGGTTCCCCGTATTTTGAATGTCAACTGTAGTCTGAAACAGATTTAATGTTTTTTTTTTTTTACAATTAAATGAAAATGATTGTATGTTTATTCGTTTGATGAATAGAACAGAAAAATAAATAAATATTGGAAAAAAAAATTATTTTATTTTTAAACATTAACAGTTGGTTTATAATTCACTTATTTGATAAGATATAGTGGCTAGACAAAAAAAAACAATATTAGGTGTTTTAGCTTGGTCGCGGAGCTGCGAAGGTATTGCAAAAGCTCTTTTTACGTTCCAAAATGTGTTACATTATTCGTGTGTGTTAAACATATGGAATAATTTTCTGTAAACAGGATACTAACACCACATTATAAGTAAAATCTGAGCATACCGAGTAAATCCAACCAGGCTCGTAAT